ATGAAGAGAGTTTTACAGATGAGGCGTCTGTACCTAGCGATGAATTTGATTCGTCTTATGACAGTGATGAAACTGAAGAGGAATTGTTTGAACTTTGTTTTTACAATGAGAATAATGAACTAATATATGATGACGTAAGAATTGCAGTTGAGGAAGCCGACATTGAGGACATTGATCCATCTAGAAAATTTCCGGAGGAGTCATCTCTTGATTATTGTGACAATGGCTATGAGACAAGTTCGTCACAAGAAAGTTTGTATGAATCATTTCAGAATACTGCAAATGATGTGACCTTATCACAAGAAATACGAAACGATTCAGAAATTGATTTAGTAGGTAATGTGAACATTTTATCTAATGGACAAACAGATGTAATAAGGGAAATGCAACGTTTAACTGGCCAACCTGTGGAAAATATCTCAGAAAATGAGGACTTACAAGACCAAGAGAATGCAAATAAGCACTCTTTATTATACATACTTGGTAGAAATCAGCTTTCCAACTCTTGTCAAAGTGAAATTACTTCACAAAATTCGCATGTGCTTACCAAAGAAATAAGTATAAATCTAAATGAACAATCAAACGATAAAATACTTGCTGATAGAGGGTCATCACAATCACCACAATCCCTTATGAACAAAACAGATATAATGCGATTAGTGACCACACCCACGAAAGAAGTGCAATTTAATCCAGAAGCATTAGGTGCATCAACAAGTAAGATACCAGCACAGTCTGTGTTGGCTAATGATGAGGAGCAAAAAAAAGAATTACACCCTGTTCCAAATTTGGCTCTATTTAACAGTAACACACCGCTTAAACTCAACTTACCCTTGCCAACTAAGAACAAGTTCGAACGACCACCTATTGACAAACCATATTATGGTCCAATTGACCAAACCAATTTTCATTCTCCTATAATTCATAAATCAACCTTACCCATGTACGATTCACATGTAAATCCACTTTTCAAGAATAATGAGTGGCTATTTAATCAAAATATTTACGGATCATCAGCAATTGATGAAAGACCTTCACACATTAATGAACAATATGTTAATCCGGAGGCGGCTCACTATGCGAAATATAATCAAAATCTCCCTTGTCAGTCAATAATTCATGAATCAATATATATGAATGATCCATATT